TTTTAAACTTTGTAGTTGTACCCACATCCCCCACTTCCTCAGGAAGTTCATTCCACATGTGAACCACCCTTTGTGTAAAAAATTTGCCCCTCACGTCTTTTGTAAATCTCTCTCCTCTCACCTTATAAGTGTGCCCCCTGGTCTTGAAATCCCCCATCCTAGGGAAAAGACAACTACCATTAACTCGATCTATACCCTTCATTATTTTAGAAACTTCTATAATATGGTAAGATCTGTCTGTACCGCATGCAAAACAAAACTTTTCACCGTATCTAGGTACATGATAATAATAAACCAAATTAAATCTAATCAAATGAAGTCACATGTAGTCTAGACCAAGTGCGTTTCCTTTCCTAAAGAACATCAGTGAATAGGTAGGTTTTTCTGACAATCAACAATGGATTCATGATCATCATTAGACTCTTAATCTCAGGTTTCATTTTTTGAATTCAAATTCCACCATCTGCCATGGCAGGATTCAATACCAGGTCCCCAGAACATTACCTGGATCTCTGGGTTCACTCTAACAACATCGCTGCCTGAGACCTGCCAGTTTGAGAATTGAACCCCGTGTATAAGAAGTGGTTCTGATATTGCTGTCTGAATGCTGCATTGTTTAGTTTATGGTAGTTAAGCCTCCAATAGCCCACTTTTACTTCAAGTCTTTGCAACACTACAATGCGGTATCCAATAGCAAATGAAGATCGGAATAACAACAGGAAGCTTAAGCTACTGAAAAACTCATTAAAAGCAGGTAAATGGCTATAAAAATGGTAAATGGAAACATAACTGGAAAAAATAGTATCAGTTCACTGGTGGAACAAAAGGAATTCAGGAACACACAAAAGCTGAAATAACCAGCTGCTCAATAAGCTATTCAAGAAAATTTCAGTTGATAAGGTCAGATAAATGAATGCTTGCGTGCATATTTACCAAAAACAATTTGCAGCAAATGCTGATTAACTGTTGTCCCAGCTCTAAACATATCACAGTATGACAAGGGTGGAAGACTGAGCACGAAGGAGATAAATCAGATAAAGTTCAAGAAAAAAAACATCCACACGAAGAGTGGAAGTCAAACAATAAGAAACAATTATGGTGAAGGCTTTTAACTACAAATACTGCTGGGGAATATTAGCTAGTAACCATATGGTCAACAGTATTTAAAGAACATACGCACCATTTGCCACTGCATTTCCATCAGTCCATTGAAGGAATGCAGCCAAATCTAATTGCAATGTACCTGAACGTGATGCTTTATTTGGTCACACTGATGAAAATTGCCACTTTCTCTAAGCTTCCCAATGCGTATAACTCCCTCTGAAAAGCATCTCCGAGTCAGGATTCCTCATTATAGCCCTGGAGAAATGCATTCACAAGCAATAAATGCCACCTTAGCTTCTATCTCAATGTAGCCATATGTTGAGCTCTTACCACACAATCACATCCCATAAAAGGAGAAACCATCTAGGTTTTCTGCATAATTCTAGCGTATCTCGCTAATTTGCTCAAAAATCAGTTTGAACAGTGTGCAGTGAGGTATTAGTACGCTGCACCTCCCTGGCCAGAGGACAACAGCAGAGACACAGCTAAATGGTGAAAGAGGAAGCACAATTTTCTGGGGACCTGGGTTCGAATCGCACCACGCAGATGGTGGAATTTGAATTCAATACATATCTGGAAGTGTCTAATGATGAGTCTATTGCTGATTGTCAGAAAAACCAATCTGGTTCACCAATGTCCTTTAGGGAAGGAAACTGCTATCCCTACCTGGTCTGGCCTACATGTGACTCCAAACCCACTGCAATATGATTGACACATAACTGCCCTCTGGGCAGATTGGGATGGGCCATAAATGCTGCCTAGCCAGCAACGCCCTCATCCCGTGAATGAATAAAGAGAAAAAAAAAGTCAAGGGGAATCCAAAAATTGAAAAACTATTTAATAATTACAGTAACAGTAACCAACCTGCCTCAGTAAATTGCAGCTTCTCCCTGGGTAGGTTTAAATGTTCTCATCAGCGCCAATTTAAATTTGCATTTGAACAAAACATACTCTGCCCTATATTTCAGCAACTTCAACTGCTCTCTATTATCCCTTTGACATACAACTGATAGACAGATGCTGTATGTAAACATGGAAAATAAAAAAGAAAGAAAATGATGGTCATTCTCTGTCTACACGATGTTAATGTTTTAGGGAATGCAAAAGAAAATCACCACTAGTTCAATCATCACCTCTAAATTATTAAGATTAGGCACTTTCTGAATGTTTGGTTCAGAACCACAGAGTCATAGAGTTACACAGGATGGAAACAAACTCATTGGTCCAACTCATCCATGCTGATCAGGTATTCTAAACTGATCTAGTCCCATTTGCCAGCATTTGGCCCATATCCCTCTAAACCCTTCCTATTCACGTACTCATCCAGATACCTTTTAAATGTTGTAATTAAACTCACCTGCACCACTTCCTTTGGCAGCTCGTTCCATACACGCACTACCCTCTGCGTGAAAGTGTTGCCCCAAAGATCCGTTTTAAATCTTTTCCCTCTCACCTTAAACCTATGCCCTCGAGTTTTGGACTTCCCCACCCTGGGACAAAGACCTTGGCTATTCACCCGATCACGTCCCTCATGATTTTATAAAACTTCTATAATGTCACTCCTCTGACTCTGAAGCTCTACGGAAATAAGCACCAGCTTATTCAGCTTCTCCTCATAGCTCAAACCCTCCGATCCCAGCAACATCCTCAGAAATCTTTTCTGAACCCTTTCAAGTTCCACAACAACTTTCCTATAGCTGGGAGACCAGAATTGAGTGTAGTATTCTAAAAGTGGCCTCACCGATGTCCTGTGCAACCGCAACAGGATCTCCCGAATCCAATACTCAGTGCACTGACCAATGAAGGCAAGCATGCCAAACGCCTTCTTCACCTCCCTGTCTTCCTGCTACTCCACTTTCAAGGAAATATGCATCTACATCCCTAGATGTCTTTGTTTGGCAACACTCCCCAGGGCCCTACCATTAACTATAGAAGTCCTGCCTAGATTTGCCTTACCAAAATGCAACACCTCATATTTATCTAAAGTAAACTCCATCTGCTACTCCTCAGCCCATTGGCCCATCTGATCAATGTCCTATTGTACTCCAAGATACCCTCCTTCTCTGTTCATACACCACCAATTTTGGTGTCATTTGCAAACTTACTAGCCTCACCTCCTATATTCTCATTCAAATTATTTATATAACTGATGAAAAGCAATGGACCCAGTGCCAACCACGCTGGTCACAGACCTCCTGTCTGAAAAACAACACTCTACCACCATCCTCTGTCTCCTACCTTCAAGTCAATTTTGTATCCAATTAGCTAGCTCCCCCGGATTCCAAGTGATCTAACCTTGCTAATCAGTCTACTAAGCGGAACCTTGTTGAACGCCTTACTGAAGTCCATACAGACAACATCTACCTCTTTGAAGGCAAAGATCTTCTTTGTCACATCTTCAAAAAACTCAATCAAGTCAGTGAGACAGGATTTTCCATGTACAAAGCCATGTTGACTATCCCAAATCATTCCTTGCCTTTCCAAATGCATGTAAATCCTGTCGCTCGGAATCTCCTC